CAATTGAGGTACAGTTGTCATACAATATTATAATAGTTTGAGGTCTACAACACAACGATTCAATATTTGTAGATATTTTGAAATGATCACAATAAGTCTAGCTAACATCAACACCATACATAGTAACAAAATTGTTTTTTGTGATACCTACTTTTAAGATTTGCTATCTCAACAACTTTTCAAATATGCAATGCAGTATTAACTGTAGTTGTCATGCTGTACATTACCACCCATGACTCATTTATTTTATAACTGGAGGTCTGTACTTTTGACTCCCTTCAAACTTCACCTACCCCCCAACCCTCTCCTCTGGCAACCACCAATCTGTTCCAATCTGTTCCCTGTATTTATGAACTTGTGTGTGTGTGTGTGTGTGTGTGTGTGTGTGTGTGTTTTAATTCTACATATAAGTGAGATCATACAGTATTTGTCTTTCTGTCTTATTTCATTTAGCATAATGCCCTAAAAGTCCACCCATGTTGTTGCAAATAGCAATATTTCATTCTTTTTTATGGCTGAATATTCTGTTGTACACATTACCCACATTTTCTTTATCCATTCATCTACTGATGGACACTTACATTGTCTCCATATCTGGACTGTTGTAAATAATGCTACAGTGAAGATGGGGGTGCATATATCATTTTGAGTTAGTGTTTTAATTTTCTGCAGTTAAATACCCAGAGGTGGAATTGCTGGGTCATATGGTAGTTCTATTACAATTTTCAATCTTAAGCTAATTGCACCATAAGAAAGTTGAAATTTGAGTTAAAATAAAATAATAAAACTTTTAACCTTGAGGCACCTGCGTGGCTCAGTTAAGCATCCTACTCTTGATTTCTGTTCAGGTTATGATCTCATGGTTTGGGAGATTCAGCCCCATGTAGGGCTCTGTGATATCAGAGCAGAGCCTGCTTGGGATTCTCTCTCCATTATCTCTCTGCCCCTTCTCACGCATTCTCTCTCTCTCTCTCAAAACAAATAAACATTAAAAGAAAATGCCTTTAACATTAATCATATTCTGCTTTTCAAAAGAAGTCAAAAGACACTAAGAAGTATGTCAAAAAGAAATGTTGATAGAGAAGCTACTGTTGCGTATCTATTCCTTTTTTGTTGGAGAAGGCTTTTTGTAGATTTGTTTTGTTTTCAGTTTTTTTAAAAGCAAGAAAATAAAGACCTGCTTAAAGGAAAAGGAAAGACAAGAAGAGCCTGCTTAACTTTCTGCTTCTATGTAACTAAATGCCTTTCTGTTCCTGGAAAAATAATGATCATAAGCACTGTTTTTTGAGCATCTACTATTTGTCCAGTTCTTTCTACATAGTATTTTATTTATTTCATTTAATTGGCCCTTCTTATATAGTGATTCTCAACATTTAGCCTGTATTGAAACCTCTAGGGCTTGTTAAAACAGGTTGTTGGAACTTGCTGTAGAATTTCTGATTCAGTCGGTTGGAGTGAGCCAGGGAATCTGCATTTCTGAAAGATTAGAGATGATGTCCATACTGCTAATTCGGGCAGGACACTTGGAGAACCCAGCTCTTTGAGATAGGCGTTGGTATCCCCACTAGGTAGACGCAGAAATGGAGACTAGGAAGTTTACAGACTGTGCCTATGGTTTCATACCTTCGGAATTAGAGCCAAGCCAGGTTTGTCCAAGACCTATGCCCACATGGACGCGAGAAAAAGGCAAGGACAAGGGAAGGGAAGACACCTACTTTGAAATGATTATTGCCTTGTCCAGGAGAGGGAGACTGCGTCCACACTGGTCCTTAGAATATTCCTGGAGGCCAGGGACGGTGGCCGTCTCGAATGGCTTCTCCCTGGGCCAGAATCCACCGTCCGGAGCCCCGCGTGGGCGAGAGCAGGGGGGAACCGCTGCGGGTGGGATCTGAAGGCAGTCCCCCTGAGGAGACTCCCTGCGGAGGACTGCTTGCCCAGCGCACTCCGTCGACCCTCCCGGGCGTCCTCTGCTTCTAGAGGGAGATCTGCGTGTGGAAGCCGGTAGTTCTGGCGCGAGGATACCCCGGCTGCGCCGCAAGGGGGCGCCCGTGTCCGCCGGCACGTAGGGCCTGCCCGCGCGTAGGGCCTTCCCCCGCTCGGCGGTCACACGGCACTGCTGAAATTTCCCGTACAGGTGTCCCAGCCCCTCCGTTCTTTAAAACTCAGTCCCGCTGCGTGTTCTGGGCACCGTGCTTCCCCATTACTTTTCCCTTTCACGATTTGTCTCTATGAAAACACAAAACCAGAGTGGCAGAGATGAAGGCTCCAGGCCCCGAAGGAGTCCTGAGTTGGAATCCTACCTCCATCATCATTCTTTCAGTCAGCAAATATTTATGGAACGTTTATTATGAGCCAGGCACTGTGCCAGGAGTTGGAGACCGCTGGAGGGCAGGACAGACACAAAACCTCAAGGTGCTTCCAGTTACACAGATGATCATACAAGTATTTTGAAACAGGGTGATAATGTGAGATGTAATGATAGCATATGAAGGAAGGCTAACCAAAACCAGGGGCTCGGAAGGGGTGCCCAGAGGAAGTGATATTTTAAGCTGAGCCTGGAAGATGAGAAAGAGCTATCCAAGTGGAGTTGGAGAAATAGCTTTCCAGATACGGGGCACAACAGGTGATGAAGAATCCAGTTGAGAAGAAAGTTGAACTTTTTGAGAAACCAAACAAAACCTTGGTTAAAGAACTAGAGAGACGTGGGCACAAAACTGGCCATAGAGGCAGATGAGGGCCAGATCACCCGGGTCGCTGAGTTGATGATTCTGAGCTTCATTGTAAAAGTTTAGGCTGGGTTGGTGGCAGTAGATGCTAGGTACAGACTAGTGCGGTGGCAGCGGAGATGCAGCGCTGTGGATGGATTCGAGAAATAATGAAGTGGCAACAGACTGAATGGGGGTTGAGTGTTCAATAAGAGAGTGGTTGTCCAGGTGGCACCCAAATTTGTCAGGAGAAATGGGAGATCAAGGCAAGATTAAGAGTTCAGCTGTGGACATACTGACCTTGATATATTTGTAAGAGAACCCAAGTAGAGATGCCATATATGCTGTAGATATACAACTCGGGTTAGAATGGCAGCCTGCAGTAGATGCATACATTTGGGCATTCTTACGGTGACAAAAGCCAAGGGGGTGGCTGAAATCATTGAGGGAAAGAACTGAGAAAAAAAGCTCAGAACCTAGGATGGGAGACCTGAGAAATTTAATATTTAAAGGTTGGGTGGAGAGGATGGAGTTACCAAAGAACACAGAGACAGCTGTCATGAAGACCAAGATTAGTCACAGAAGCCAAGAGAAGTGTTTTGTGAATAGGGGAATGCCCAACTTCATTGGCTGTTGCTGCTACCTCAAGGGGGATAGCTTCAACTTTTCCACAGAGTTTGCCAACAAGGTGGTTTTATAACATTTGGGGGCAGAATTTCTTAGTCCAACCATGTCATTATTTCAGCTGCTACGGAGGTAGTATTAAAAATTTATGATTGCTGTTCAGGGCAGGGGATGTGAAAAAAATCACTGCTTCTTTAAGAGATTTGCGTGTTTGCACTTATGAACAATGTATGTAAATTCTTCTACTTAAAAGTTTTTTGCTCAGGTACCTAGATGGTTTGTTCCAACTGTTTCAAATCTTGGGAAAAATTGTTTAAGGACTAACACAGATCCTCATCCCAGGCTTATGGAATTTAGTAGTAAGAAGGTTCTAAAAAGAAACCAGGCCCTCTGAGGAATAAACAAAACAAAACACCTACACACAAGTATTCTGCTGGAGATGACCTGGAAATTCCCTACAGATTCAACTGGATCAATACATGTAAAGCTCATAAAGTAGTGCCTGCTTACATAGTCATCACAATATAGATGATAGATCTTTTTAGTGTTGAACTATATTGTTATTATTAAAAATTGTTACTATATTCAAATCTAGGCCGCTAGGCAAACCTCTTAGTTTATCTACTTCTGATAAAGAGCAATGTCAGTTTGGTGCTCAGGACCACAGATACTAGAAGTTGTCTGCCTTCAGGTAAAGGGATGAAAGCCATTAAAGTAGTATTTAAATATGGTTTAGACATTGCATTTACCAGGGGATAAATTCAGGGCATGTGAAAGTGTCCAACAGACTTCTGTTTGTCAGTATCCTGAAACTGCTTTCCCACTAAGATTAAAAGAATCGAAGTACTCTGAACAGATCCAGAAAGGGTGTCAGCACTAATTGGGGATAGACGCCAGTGACCTTGGTATGGTGGTCACAACTAATGTGGGCGGATGTAAGGCTGGAGTGGAGCTGAAAAGGTGGAGAGGATGGAGTATGGATACGAGGCAAGAGATGGTAAGCAGAGGAAAATATAGAACTAGGTATGTGCATTTTACATTGGTTAGACCAGACTCCTTTAAACGTTGATAGGAAGAATCCTATAAAAGAGGGGCTGACGAGACAGGCAAGGGTTGGGATACAGAAAGCAGGTGGAGGCACAGCTTTTTGATGGGAGGATGGACACATTTCCTGTCCTGATGACTTTGATCTGTGAAAAGCTCAGGTCATGAGCTGAGAATGGGGCAAAGAGAGGAAGGCACAGATGTGTGGGACAGAATGCTTAAAACAGTCACAAGTTCTGACTGAGAAAATGAGCTGCCTAAAAAGATGTAACAGAAGTACCAAGTATTGCTCAGGAGTGTGAATCTCAAGCAAATTGCTTAGCTTCTGTAAACCTGGGTTCTCTCTTCTGCCAAAGAAGGCCCTGTTTAAGCCAGGCCCCTGACGACAATGACAAATTGAGTTATTTCTGGGTATAGCTACCATGACAAGAGTCAGTAAAAGCTGCCTTCTTTTGTTGCTGGTGGGACATTACCATGTAAGAGCTCAAAGCAATGTTGATATCACAGTTTAAAACATCCCAACTATTCTTTCAAGTATTCTCTTTTTCTCGTCAACTTGACTAACTTGGTTATATTAAGCTATATAGTTAAATATAAATTCATGTAATGAACCTTAAAACCATTACATTATATAATAATAAAGCAGCCGAGTGTTTTATTTTTACATAATCATCATTCAGTAAATGTTGTTACATTGTGAAATATTATGTTTTAATCTCCTTTTCAATAGAAAGGTTTTCTAAGGAAATGACTTGGAGCCTTTCACATTTATCAGATGCCTTTTCATTATTCTTTTCCATTTTTGCAATTCTGGATCCAAACTGCATGGCCCGTTTCGGCAGAAGAGGAGAGGTTGTTAAGCCAAGTTCCACTGCTGCAAGACGCAAAATTAGTTTTTCACCAATTCCACGGGGCAAAGTCAAATTTGCCTTCTCCCAAACTGGTAGGGAATTTAGAAAGGAGACGACATTTTCATCCAGGAAAGGAAATCTAAAATAAATAGATAAACATAACCACTACATAAAAAGACCCAATTTGTTATGATTATTTCTTTTGCATTTTATTCAATGTTAAAATTTATAGCATCAAATTAATTTTTCATGTCACTATTTTTCTCAATTAAAAATATTCTGGTTATTTACACAATTTCACACCTAAAATGTAATCACACTGACAAATGTTTCATGTGACTAATTTTAATACATATACTACAGTTTTCTCAGCACCAGGAAGTCATTTTGGAGACACCTAGATACGCAGTTTCGATCAGGTTTTTAAGACTTGACTTCCTCAGAAAATATGCAACTAGAGTCGGAAAGAAGAATTTCCAGGGGAATGCTGGAAGATGGCGGCGTAGGAGGACGCTGGGCTCACCGCGCGTCCTGCTGATCACTTAGATTCCACCTACACCTGCCTAAATAACCCAGAAAACCACCAGAGGATTAGCAGAATGGAGTCGCCGGAGCCAAGCGCAGACGAGAGGCCCACGGAAGAGGGTAGGAAGGGCGGCGAGGCGGTGCGCGCTCCACGGACTGGCGGGAGGGAGCCGGGGCGGAGGGGTGGCTCGCCGGCCAAGCAGAGCCCCCAAGTCTGGCTTGCAAAAAGCGGAGGGGCCTGACGGACTGTGTTCCGACAGCAAGCGCGACTTAGCGGCTGGGAGGTCATAAGTTAACAGCTCTGCTCAGAAAGCGGGAAGGCTGGAGGACAAAGGGAAGGAAAGCTGCTGAGCCCCAGGACGACAGAGCTCAGTTTGGTGGGGAACAAAGGCGCTCGCCAGCGCCATCTTCCCTGCCCATCCCCCAGCCAAAATCCCAAGAGAACCAGTTCCTGCCAGGGAACTTGCTCGCTCCGCGCAAACACCCAACTCTGCGCTTCTGCGGAGCCAAACCTCCGGCAGCGGATCTGACTCCCTCCTGCTGCCACAGGGCCCCTCCTGAAGTGGATCACCTAAGGAGAAGCAAGCTAAGCCTGCCCCTCCTGCCCCTGTGCACCTTGCCTACCCACCCCAGCTAAGACGCCAGATCCCCAGCATCACAAGCCTGGCAGTGTGCAAGTAGCCCAGACAGGCCACGCCACCCCACAGTGAATCCCGCCCCTAGGAGAGGGGAAGAGAAGGCACGCACCAGTCTGACTGTGGCCCCAGCGGTGGGCTGGGGGCAGACATCAGGTCTGACTGCGGCTCCGCCCACCAACTCCAGTTATACACCACAGCACAGGGGAAGTGCCCTGCAGGTCCTCACCACACCACGGACTATCCAAAATGACCAAGCGGAAGAATTCCCCTCAGAAGAATCTCCAGGAAATAACAACAGCTAATGAGCTGATCAAAAAGGATTTAAATAATATAACAGAAAGTGAATTTAGAATAATAGTCATAAAATTAATCGCTGGGCTTGAAAACAGTATAGCTGACAGCAGAGAATCTCTTGCTACAGAGATCAAGGGACTAAGGAACAGTCACGAGGAGCTGAAAAATGCTTTAAACGAAATGCATAACAAAATGGAAACCACGACGGCTCGGATTGAAGAGGCAGAGGAGAGAATAGGTGAACTAGAAGATAAAGTTATGGAAAAAGAGGAAGCTGAGAAAAAGAGAGATAAAAAAATCCAGGAGTATGAGGGGAAAATTAGAGAACTAAGTGATACACTAAAAAGAAACAATATACGCATCATTGGTATCCCAGAGGAGGAAGAGAGAGGGAAAGGTGCTGAAGGGGTACTTGAAGAAATAATAGCTGAGAACTTCCCTGAAGTGGGGAAGGAAAAAGGCATTGAAATCCAAGAGGCACAGAGAACTCCCTTCAGACGTAACTTGAATCGATCTTCTGCACGACATATCATAGTGAAACTGGCAAAATACAAGGATAAAGAGAAAATTCTGAAAGCAGCAAGGGGTAAACGTGCCCTCACATATAAAGGGAGACCTATAAGACTCGTGACTGATCTCTCTTTTGAAACTTGGCAGGCCAGAAAGGATTGGCACGAGATTTTCAGTGTGCTAGACAGGAAAAATATGCAGCCGAGAATCCTTTATCCAGCAAGTCTGTCATTTAGAATAGAAGGAGAGATAAAGGTCTTCCCAAACAAACAAAAACTGAAGGAATTTGTCACCACTAAACCAGCCCTACAAGAGATCCTAAGGGGGACCCTGTGAGACAAAGTATCAGAGACATCACTACAAGCATAAAACATACAGACATCACAATGACTCTAAACCCATATCTTTCTATAGTAACACTGAATGTAAATGGATTAAATGCGCCAACCAAAAGACATAGGGTATCAGAATGGATAAAAACACAAGACCCATCTATTTGCTGTCTACAAGAGACTCATTTTAAACCTGAGGACACCTTTAGATTCAGAGTGAGGGGATGGAGAACTATTTATCATGCTACTGGAAGCCAAAAGAAAGCTGGAGTAGCCATACTTATATCAGACAAACTAGACTTTAAATTAAAGGCTGTAACAAGAGATGAAGAAGGACATTATATAATAGTGACAGGGTCTATCCATCAGGAAGAGCTAACAATTATAAATGTCTATGCACCAAATACCGGAGCGCCCAAATATATAAAACAATTACTCATAAACACAAGCAACCTTATTGATAAGAATGTGGTAATTGCAGGGGACTTTAACACCCCACTTACAGAAATGGATAGATCATCTAGACACATGGTCAATAAAGAAACAAGGGCCCTGAATGAGACATTGGAACAGATGGACTTGACAGATATATTTAGAACTCTGCATCCCAAAGCAACAGAATATACTTTCTTCTCGAGTGCACATGGAACATTCTCCAAGATAGATCATATACTGGGTCACAAAACAGCCCTTCATAAGTTTACAAGAATTGAAATCATACCATGCATACTTTCAGACCACAATGCTATGAAGCTTGAAATCAACCACAGAAAAAAGTCTGGAAAACCTCCAAAAGCATGGAGGTTAAAGAACACCCTACCAACGAATGAGTGGGTCAACCAGGCAATTCGAGAAGAAATTAAAAAATATATGGAAACAAACGAAAATGAAAATACAACAATCCAAACGCTTTGGGACGCGGCGAAGGCAGTCCTGAGAGGAAAATACATTGCAATCCAGGCCTATCTCAAGAAACAAGAAAAATCCCAAATACAAAATCTAACAGCACACCTAAAGGAAATAGAAGCAGAACAGCAAAGGCAGCCTAAACCCAGCAGAAGAAGAGAAATAATAAAGATCAGAGCAGAAATCAACAATATAGAATCTAAAAAAACTGTAGAGCAGATCAACGAAACCAAGAGTTGGTTTTTTGAAAAAATAAACAAAATTGACAAACCTCTAGCCAGGCTTCTCAAAAAGAAACGGGAGATGACCCAAATAGATAAAATCATGAGTGAAAATGGAATGATTACAACCAATCCCTCAGAGATACAAACAATTATCAGGGAATACTATGAAAAATTATATGCCAACAAATTGGACAACCTGGAAGAAATGGACAAATTCCTGAACACCCACACTCTTCCAAAACTCAATCAGGAGGAAATAGAAAGCTTGAACAGACCCATAACCAGCGAAGAAATTGAATCGGTTATCAAAAATCTCCCAACAAATAAGAGTCCAGGACCAGATGGCTTCCCAGGGGAGTTCTACCAGACGTTTAAAGCAGAGATAATACCTATCCTTCTCAAGCTATTCCAAGAAATAGAAAGGGAAGGAAAACTTCCAGACTCATTCTATGAAGCCAGTATTACTTTGATTCCTAAACCAGACAGAGACCCAGTAAAAAAAGAGAACTACAGGCCAATATCCCTGATGAATATGGATGCCAAAATTCTCAGTAAGATACTAGCAAATCGAATTCAACGGCATATAAAAAGAATTGTTCACCATGATCAAGTGGGATTCATTCCTGGGATGCAGGGCTGGTTCAACATTCGCAAATCAATGTGATACATCACATTAACAAAAAAAAAGAGAAGAACCATATGATCCTGTCAATCGATGCAGAAAAGGCCTTTGACAAAATCCAGCACCCTTTCTTAATAAAAACCCTTGAGAAAGTCGGGATAGAAGGAACATACTTAAAGATCATCAAAGCCATTTATGAAAAGCCCACAGCTAACATCATCCTCAACGGGGAAAAACTGAGAACTTTTTCCCTGAGATCAGGAACACGACAGGGATGCCCACTCTCACCGCTGTTGTTTAACATAGTGCTGGAAGTTCTAGCATCAGCAATCAGACAACAAAAGGAAATCAAAGGCATCCAAATTGGCAAAGATGAAGTCAAGCTTTCGCTTTTTGCAGATGACATGATATTATACATGGAAAATCCGACAGACTCCACCAAAAGTCTGCTAGAACTGATACATGAATTCAGCAAAGTTGCAGGATACAAAATCAATGTACAGAAATCAGTTGCATTCTTATACACTAACAATGAAGCAACAGAAAGACAAATAAAGAAACTGATCCCATTCACAATTGCACCAAGAAGCATAAAATACCTAGGAATAAATCTAACCAAAGATGTAAAGGATCTGTATGCTGAAAACTATAAAAGCTTATGAAGGTAATTGAAGAAGATTTAAAGAAATGGAAAGACATTCTGTGCTCATGGATTGGAAGAATAAATATTGTCAAAATGTCAATACTACCCAAAGCTATCTACACATTCAATGCAATCCCAATCAAAATTGCACCAGCATTCTTCTCTAAACTAGAACAAGCAATCCTAAAATTCATATGGAACCACAAAAGGCCCCGAATAGCCAAAGTAATTTTGAAGAAGAAGACCAAAGCAGGAGGCATCACAATCCCAGACTTTAGCCTCTACTACAAAGCTGTCATCATCAAGACAGCATGGTATTGGCACAAAAACAGACACATAGACCAATGGAATAGAATAGAAACCCCAGAACTAGACCCACAAACGTATGGCCAACTCATCTTTGACAAAGCAGGAAAGAACATCCAATGGAAAAAAGACAGTCTCTTTAACAAATGGTGCTGGGAGAACTGGACAGCAACATGCAGAAGGTTGAAACTAGACCACTTTCTCACACCATTCACAAAAATAAACTCAAAATGGATAAAGGACCTGAATGTGAGACAGGAAACCATCAAAACCTTAGAGGAGAAAGCAGGAAAAGACCTCTCTGACCTCAGCCGTAGCAATCTCTTACTCGACACATCCCCAAAGGCAAGGGAATTAAAAGCAAAAGTGAATTACTGGGACCTTATGAAGATAAAAAGCTTCTGCACAGCAAAGGAAACAACCAACAAAACTAAAAGGCAACCAACGGAATGGGAAAAGATATTTGCAAATGACATATCGGACAAAGGGCTAGTCTCCAAAATCTATAAAGAGCTCACCAAACTCCACACCCGAAAAGCAAATAACCCAGTGAAGAAATGGGCAGAAAACATGAATAGACACTTCTCTAAAGAAGACATCCGGATGGCCAACAGGCACATGAAAAGATGTTCAGCGTCGCTCCTTATCAGGGAAATACAAATCAAAACCACACTCAGGTATCACCTCACGCCAGTCAGAGTGGCCAAAATGAACAAATCAGGAGACTATAGATGCTGGAGAGGATGTGGAGAAACGGGAACCCTCTTGCACTGTTGGTGGGAATGCAAATTGGTGCAGCCGCTCTGGAAAGCAGTGTGGAGGTTCCTCAGAAAATTAAAAATAGACCTACCCTATGACCCAGCAATAGCACTGCTAGGAATTTATCCAAGGGACACAGGAGTACTGATGCATAGGGGCACTTGTACCCCAATGTTCATAGCAGCACTCTCAACAATAGCCAAATTATGGAAAGAGCCTAAATGTCCATCAACTGATGAATGGATAAAGAAATTGTGGTTTATATACACAATGGAATACTACGTGGCAATGAGAAAAAATGAAATATGGCCTTTTGTAGCAACGTGGATGGAACTGGAGAGTGTGATGCTAAGTGAAATAAGCCATACAGAGAAAGACAGATACCATATGGTTTCACTCTTATGTGGATCCTGAGAAACTTAACAGGAACCCATGGGGGAGGGGAAGGAAAAAAAAAAAAAAAAGAGGTTAGAGTGGGAGAGAGCCAAAGCATAAGAGACTGTTGAGAACTGAGAGCAAACTGAGGGTTGATGGGGGGTGGGAGGGAGGAGAGGGTGGGTGATGGGTATTGAGGAGGGCACCTTTTGGGATGAGCACTGGGTGTTGTATGGAAACCAATTTGACAATAAATTTCATATATAAATTAAAAAAAAAATACATATACTACAAAATAAATTTTGCCTGAAAAATAAATACATTAGGCCTATGGTAAGAAATAATCTCAAATTGTTTCACAAGGAATCTTTAGCAGTGCCTTGAAAACAAGTATGGTCTTAGGTCAATTATTCAATCTGTGTTTGTTCTTTATCATATAAAAAGAGAATGAATATGAGATCAATATAGAAGCACTCTAAATCCTGAAATTGTGAAATGTTTACTTATGGTAAAATCTTATAGTATCAAAATTATTTAATTACATTCAACCCATTTAAATGGTGACAAATCAGTATAACAGAATAAAGTATTAGATTTAAAAAATTAACTTTCTGCCCTTCGGCTTCCCTGATTTCCTAGAAAATTCTGTTGTTGTTTTGTTTTGTTTACTTTTTTTTTCTAAAAAAATTTTTTTTTAACATTTATTCATTTTTGAAAGACAGAGAAAGATAGACCATGAGTGGAAGAGGGGCACAGAGAGAGGGAGACACAGAATCTGAAGCAGGCCCCAGACTTTCAGCTGTCGGCACAGAGCCTGACACGGGGCTCGAACTCATGAAATGAGATCATGACCTGAGCTAAAGTTAGATGGTTAACCCACTGAGCCATCTAGGTGCCCCTAAAATACTTTAATACTCTCCTGCCAATTCCTTAATATGCAACACTGTTACAGTAGTGTTTCTTTCTGTTTTATTAAATTTTATCCTAGCTCCAGTAGAGAGACTGGAAAAGGTAAGGCATTCGTCATATGAAATATTTTATAAAAATGAATTAATCGCAAAAGCAAATCTATATATAGCATAATCTAATCAATTGATCGCTGAATTAACAGCATGCCAAATGCATAATAAACAATAAATAAATAAATAATAAATAAAAGTATAATAATTTAGTAATAAATTATTTATATCCACCCACTATCAGGGTATTTGTTAAATCACAATTCTCTATTAGCTGTTTAAACATTCCTCATATGCACTTTTACCTGAGGGTATCATATGGGGCCTTTAGAATTAACTGTTCTACGAAATAAAATAAATTCCCTTTTCTCTGACCTACCTGAAATAAAGGACTGAATATCGCTCTCTCTCAAATATACACACCCTTCAAAAGGAAAATATTTTTAAAGTTTTTATACTGTGGTATATATTTAAATTATGTAATATATATAAGAAACTGAAATAGAGGTAAGAAATGGTGAAGTGTTAGAGTAGGTGTATTACGATGTTCTCACAAAGCTGATTTGGACTCCCTGTTCTCGCATGCTGTACCCTTTTAATAAACTACCACTTAATAAATTAACCCACTTGAACAAACTTCTGCTTTTTATAACTGTAACACATTTTTTTTATCCTTAATAATTTAAAAAGGTGTTCTCAAGCACTTGTTCACTACCACCATAAATATACTGTTAGGTAAAAATAAACCCCTGAATTTAAAAAAAAGTATACATATGTAAATGCCTTGATCTCTTGGCAAGTTTTAGGTAACCTGCAACATATGACCAAACTGAGTTCAAAACACACATAGCAGAGGGGAATCCAGTTCTGGAACCAGCATTTACATCAGCATGGATCGAGCATGCATATCTGTCCCTAGAGACAAAGCTGGGTTCTCTAACACTGGAGGGCAAAACGTGGGGGTAGGGCCTATGCTCTTGCTGGGAGGAAAGTAAACATTTACAACAAAACCAAACCCATTAAATACTTTCTCTCAGCATTTCACTACCTCGGTTTTATAGTCTTTTTCGCTGTGGTACTAATAACAGTCATGCCAAGACATTCCTTACAGAATGAGCTCTGGACAACAAGTGCTCTTCTGGCTGCCCCGCCCACCCCACTCTCCCTCTGACTGAGGGTGTTTTAATATAAAGCCAACATATCATTGTTGCTACTGTTACTCATTTGAGTGGTCTCCAAAGAAAGGAACCTAAAATTCTCCACAGGCTAATGTTTTGTTTGTTTGTTTGTTTACAAAATTACCCACAACACTTAATTTGAATTACCTTGCTTCTTTTCCATGATCACCAATAACTCTGTCATCACGACCAAGATTTCTAGAGGAAATTCGACCCAGTTCCATCTCGATTTCCTTATTTAATCCTTCCATTCCATGGGTCTGAAAGCGGACACGGTGACGAGAATAACCTGCAAGTTGCTCATCAGCACCGATTCCAGTAAGAACCACCTGTAACGGTTTACAGAAATCCCTTTTTATGATATATGATAAAGACAAAAGCAAAGCTTAAAAAATTATAATCTCAAAAATAACATCTTCAGACAAAAAACACACGGCAAGTCATAAAGTAGTAAAAACATGCCCAATTTTTAAAAAGGTCTTCTAGGGGCGCCTGGGTGGCTTGGTCGGTTAAGCATCCGACTTCGGCTCAGGTCATGATCTCACAGTCCGTGAGTTCGAGCCCCGCGTCGGGCTCTGTGCTGACAGCTCAGAGCCTGGAGCCTGTTTCAGATTCTGTGTCTCCCTCTCTCTCTGCTCCTCCCCTGTTCATGCTCTGTCTCTCTCTGTCTCAAAAATAAATAAACGTTAAAAAATTTTTTTTTTTTTAATAAAAGTCTTCTATGTTGCATTGTAGATTAAATGCAATTAAAATACGCTATGTTCTTGCAATCTAAATGCTAATAGCTTTAAAGGATAAAAATTAGGTCTCAGAAATTCTTCGAGTAGACATTGTGTGCCATACCTTTGCGCTGCTCTGATATGATTTTGCTTCATCCTGGGTCACTAACCAACCAATTCCTCTAGAAGCAAACCAGACTGCACAGCCAATGCTATCGTCCAACACTGTATCCAAGGGCTGAACCAGGTGGCATATTCGAGTTCTTCTTAATTCTTGCAGTTCTTCCAGAGAAACATTAATTTCAACAAAATTCCAAGTCCGGGAAGGGTTAGCAGCCTGTAGTTCCTTCAGTCCCACTCTTCCTGAGATACGATCTGGTACACTGAATTGTTTATCAGAACTATCATCATCGTTACCAGCAGCAGCAACAGCAGCAGCAGCAGCATTTTTAGAGGATTCTTCAGAAGGCATTTCACAATGGTTTTTCTGTTTTTTCCTCTTTTTGTTAAAACCAGTAAGTATGGTCTTTTCTTTAGTCATGAATGCCACATTAAGAAGGTCAATGGGTTCATCTAAAGGTACATGATGGTCAGCAAGGGCCGCAATAACCATGGAATCAATACCCCCAGAAAACAGGATTGCAACATTTGCTTTCCTATCACAACTTTTCAAAACCTCACTCTGTGTCAGGTTTTCACCCCTAGGTAAACATAAGACACGTCTCTTCACTGCGATACTCAGGACATCAATGAACTGCTGAACTACTTCCTTCATGTGTCCATCAGTAAGAAAGACCTGAAGCGTTTCCCTGGTAGGTGGGACACTAGCAATGTTACTGCAATAAATCTCAAATGGAGCTTGTGGCAACGTCATATTTAAAGGAACAACAGGTTCTTTAAGACAGAGTTTGGCTTCATTTGCTACCACTGATACAAATGTTGGCAAGTTTGCTGAAATTTGAGTCAGGCTATTAACACATTCTTTGATAACATTCTCCCTAGAAATACATTTCCAAGGGTACAATTTTAAAACCACAGATTCGGAAATGGAAGGAGACTTGAGATCAATTCTAAAAATTCCAGATGCTGGAACTTCTTGCCACTGGTTGGCCACTCCAGATGTTTGGGCACCAACTGAAGAGAGGCAGAAACTCTTGCCCAAATTACTAAAATGCCAAAGCAAGCTACGACGACCAAAAAAATCCCTACCAAACCATAAATGATGACTAGATGCTTGGTAATATATAAAAGACCAAGGACCCTGGACTTCTGAGAAGAGTGACAAAATATCAGATTCAGTCTTACAAGAGGAAAGATAATTAAACATTACTTGGGTATCATTTTCTTCAGCTTCAACCTTTATGCCACTAAAGACTTCTCCATTCCACAGGAACACATTGCCTCTTTCATCTTCCACAGGCTGGGCAGTCAAAACACCTCTTAAGTGAAGGACATGACCAGAAAATAAACACTGGTAGCTAACATCAGACTTTAACAACTGTTTACTACTGTTGGGTCCCCGTCGGTTAAGATTATACAGTAAATCCCGTTTCAAATCTTTGCTGAAATGCTCAACGGAAAAGCTTACAGAACAGCAAATGCCACACATTGTTATGTGAAATCAAGTTATTTCTTGATAAAATAAAATATTATTTCTTGATTTTGGTCTTCTCTGAGTTTTCTATTTCTTGGTATTCTTTTTTCAGTTCATCCAATATATCTGTGGGGGGAGGGGAGAAGATACGTCAAGTAAAATAAAAATTCTTGGACCTTCACCTAGTAATTCATAGAGCAACATAGGCTACTTACCAAGATCAAAGCACTTGAGTATATGCACTGTGTTAGTGTGAATAATCATTTACAACAGGCTTCTGATGACAATGTTTAACTTTTAGGAAAATAATTTCCATTTATTAAATGCTTACTTTGGCCTAGGCACTGAACTATGAACTTTATACATCCCTTCCTATTTATTTTTTTAATTAAAAAAATTTTTAACATGTATTATTTATTTTTGAGAGACAGAAAGAGAGTGAGCGAGAGGGGCAGAGAGACAGAGAGAGGGAGACAGAATCCAAAGCAGGCTCTAGGCTCCAAGATGTCAGCATAGAGCCCCACGCAGGCTTGAACTCAGGGGCCATGAGATCACGACCTGAGGCAAAGTTGGATGCTTAACCAAAATGAGTCACCCAGGTTCTCTTTTCCCTTTCTTGTTTAAATCCCACAAAACTTTTGGCGCCTGGGTGGCGCAGTCGGTTAAGCGTCCGACTTCAGCCAGGTCACGATCTCGCGGTCCGTGAGTTCGAGCCCCGCGTCGCGCTCTGGGCTGATGGCTCAGAGCCTGGAGCCTGTTTCCGATTCTGTGTCTCCCTCTCTCTCTGCCCCTCCCCCGTTCATGCACTGTCTCTCTCTGTCCCAAAAATAAATAAACATTGAAAAAAAAACTTAAAAAAATAAATAAATAAATAAATAAATCCCACAAAACTTTTGAGTCCCAAAGTAATTCACTCAAAGTCATAAAAGGAGAAAGTTGTAGAAAATTTTCATACCTAGATCTATCTAAAATTCTAAAGCACACATTAATAATTATAGCTTTCTAACACTCTTAGGCTAACTTGAAGAAACCCAAGCCACAGCATTAATCTTACTTATATGTATATCACCATCCAATCTTCAGATATAGATTTAAACATTCAGATAGACAATATAATTTAGGCACTACTATTATTTTCTACAGAAAGCCTAGAAAAGACTTTCCATGCATTTCTATATAATATACCAAATAAACTTACTTTTGCTTTCAGAAAGCATTTCTGTTCGGTCTGCAAGAAAGAATATGTTGCTGTTCTGTTGTTGCCTATATACTTTCTGCAAAACATAATTTAGGCTAATATTATGATTTGATCTAAAAAGTGTTATGTCGAAACTCTGAACCCTTTTAGTATATATTCCTGAACTTCAGTAACGTATATTCAGAACAATACCTTAGCAAATTACAGGTAAACAAAAGTCACCCATTATTCTACCATCTAGAAATTGCTACCATTAACACTGTAGTGAAATGTTTTTTCTGTATATACCATATCAGTTTTCTTGAACAAAAAAGGCTCTTATTATAAATACAGATTTATTATTTGCTTTTATCAAGGAACAACATATTGGGAACAGTTTCTGTTATCAATAAACATTCTTTTACAACATTATTGTATGGGTATAACATTACAGTTTATTTGGTTAAGTCTTCATGTTTTACACATTGAAGGTATAACCAACTTTAGAAATCAAAGTTGTAATGAATTTCTTTGTAACTAAATCTTTGTATAATCCCATGATTCATAGGTATCAATTCCTATAAGGGGAACTACTGGGTCAAAATGCTCCATAGTTTTAAGGCTTTGATATACTCTGCCAACTTGCCCTCTAGAAAGTTTGTATCAGTTGTGACTTAAGTTCTAAAATTCCTTTAAGTGACAGTATCAGAAAGGCCTAACCAACCTGTCAGTATCAAATATTTTAAAGGGCTCAAAATAATTTCTTCCTGAACTTTAAAATGTAATTTTTGACAGTATTACTACACATAAAGCAGTAGCTTGCTTGTTTATAGATACATTAATGGAATTGTCATTAAATAACCATGTTAAATATTTGGCAGATTTGTGTAAAAAATGTGAGGAAGAGAGAAGCAATTTATCCTTTTTGTTTTTCAACAACTATCCACATTCACTTAAAGGCATAGTCTCCTTAATATATTTTAAGGTTATTTATTTCAAAAGAAAACACCAAATTCAAGTATAAAATAAATACCATTAGTGATTACATTGTATAATTAGTACCTTTTAGTTCAAAGGTTATGTGAATTGTATATGATGGGAATAAAATATTATCAACTATAATTAACATATAAGTATGTATGTGCATAAAATCTTGGACACTTTTCACTTTTGCAATGTAACTAAAAAGAATGCTGACATCTTGCAAATTTTAATGTAAATATAAATCTTAGATATAATTCTTGTAACTTTAGTATATAGTTAACATAATCAAACTCTCCCACATACAATTCAGAATTACTCTAATAACTCACCCTGTTCTTCTTCAGGTTAGAAAGTTCATCCACAACAATTTTTTGTTCTTTAATCTATTGAAATAAAAGAAAAACTTCTTAAATCAGAGGCTATCAAGTATGTTCAATTGAGGGCCCTTTAAAATTGGAGATGGGATATGGGATTATAATTTACTGACTATCCAGATGGGCAGTCTGTGAACATATAGATTCTTTCCAACAGCAGTGTGTGAGGGTGCGCCTGGGGGGGAAGTTGAAAAAGGAAACAGTGATTATACTTGATAGGTGTCAGAAAGCCCACTGAACCCAGACAGAGGGTTTAGTGTTGGTAACCAGCATTCATGCAAGGACCAGAGTTACTAAACTAAGTTTGCACCTTTTATTTAAAATAGACAATAAGCACCAAGAGTATTTTTAATGACTTCTTTTAAGTTATGTTTTATTTTTATTATTATTATTTTTTACAAATAGCAAATGTCATAAGGCGTAGGCTACTTTTCTTCCCTCTCAAATATCAATGGTTTCCATGATTCATGTATAAATAGTGCAGCCACACATGCAGAACAAACAAGTAGTACTAAATGACCTACCTGGGGCTGTTAAGGTGTTATCACTTTCCATCTTGGCTTTATTCCTCTTTACATTTCAAAGACTAGCACAGTGCTGGCACTGCTGAACTAGCCCTCACTTTTTATTAGTAGGCTAGGGCACAACTAAGTGGGAGTGAATTTCTAACTCTTTTCAGCAAGGGCAGTTATACTGTGAACATGACTGATTACATTGTGTTATCAGTGCCTCTAAAAGCAGGTTTTATAAACTCTGTCCTACCTCACACACCTCACAGATCTGTCACACATCAGCATAAATGGCTTGCTATGGTAGTAATTGGAGTAGGTTGTATGTGGTTTGAAAATTCACTCCCTGCTATGTGGCAATGAGAAAGAATGAAATACGGCCCTTTGTAGCAACATGGATGGAACTGGAGAGTGTTATGCTAAGTGAAATAAGCCATACAGAGAAAGACAGATACCATACGTTTTCACTCTTATGTGGATCCTGAGAAACTTAACAGGAACCCATGGGGGAGGGGAAGGAAAAAAATAAAGAGAGGTTAGAGTGGGAGAGAGCCAAAGCATAAGAGACTCTTAAAAACTGAGAACAAACTGAGGGTTGATGGGGGGTGGGAGGGAGGGGAGGGTAGGTGATGGGCACTGAAGAGGGCATCTTTTGGGATGAGCACTGGGTGTTGTATGGAAACCAATTTGACAATAAATTTCATATATTTAAAAAAAATGAAAAGAAAATTCACTCCCTGTGGGTGTGTACTCTTCTGTTTCTCCAGTCAGTGTAGTAACTGGCTAGATTGGAGTTGAATTCCAAGAGCAAATTTGTATAACCTTCAGACTTACGTTTGAACAGTGCTTCCCCATTCATTTTAGGAATGACAGGTGTACATTATACATTTCACTTTACTTCAAACAAGGAAACGGATACGGAGAGATGAGTGACTTGCCTGAGATGTTACTGTTAGTTTAGGACAAAACTAAAGTAAAATCTAGGACATCTAATACCTGAATGGCTATAACCATTCCCATCTCCAGTATATTTTTGTTTATGGCAGTTAAGATTTACATTGCTTAGCCCTTCCCCCACCCCCCCAGCCCCGACCTTTTTGGGTAGAACAGTGACCATCAGATACACGTTTCAGGATCATTGCTCTCGCTACAGTGGAGAACAGATAGTTAGAAGGTAAGGATGGATGCGGAGAGAGTGGTTAGGAAACCTATGGAAGATTCCCGATGGTGGATGAAGATGGCTCGTTTAGGATGGTGAGCGTACACTGTGATGAAGGGATCTATTTGAAATGAACTTCAGAAGTAGAACTGGCAGGTGATGGGCGTCAAGAATGGCTTCTAGGTTATTGGCATGGACAACTGAATGGATAGTGGTGACATTTTCTGAGATGGGAAATACTGTAGCATCCGGATCTGGGGTGGGCCGTATTTCTAATGGTTTACAAAGAGTAGAGAGAAAAGACCTCAACCAAGCCTCTGTCCCACTGCCAAATGGGTCTACTCTTGGGGCAAATTTCACGATCTCCCTTTAACTGTGGCTGCCAAGTGCTAAGACTCAGGGCAAAGTCGAGGGCGGGCCATGTGGCGCGGTGGATCTTCTTTGGAGTCAAGCAGAGCCCAGTCCGAAGGTTCGCGACTCGTCCTACACTCACCTTGCTGCTAAGATCCTCCTTGTGCGGGGTCGAGTTATCTGCAGAGGACAGCACAGCGCCGTCCTCGGGTTGAGACCCACGGCCGGGCATCTCCACAGAGCACGGTGAACTCAGGATACGGCACCCCACTAGCTCCCACTACCCAACAGGCTCCAATTCAGCGCATGCGCGCTCCCAGCGGCCCCCACCCCCTTCCTTTCACTTTCCCATCAGTCTTACCGATAGCGGCTGCGCATTTGCTAGAGCGCCTGCGCAAACCCGCTCTGTCTTGGGAGCAGTTGTGCGCGTGCGCACAGTTGCTTAGGACGTTCGTGAAATGTGAGTGGTATCTGAACGGTGCCCTAGC